TCGGCTATGCATGAATACATCTATCTGATGTTTACAGGTATCTAACTTGTATAGATATTTTATTTGTGCACTTAATATATTAGTAATTTTATTTTTTGTGTTTATTTATAGAAATTAGCTCTACTTTTTACTTCTTATGAGTAAGGAGATTACGTTGAAATCTTAATTGTAAAGATTCATAGAAATATGTGAGTATACTTGAACCATAAAGTAAGAGACTTCATTAATTATATAGGAATATCATTATAATTTACATAATGTTGTCTCCAAATTTCTCTTTTTGGCTGCATGGTAGATGAAACTGTGAATGCATGCCACTCATTTTGCTTAAAGTGAGGAAGAGAGATTTCGAACAATCATCACTATTTTCAAACATGAAACTTAACTATGAGTCGATGAAAAAGTACTGATTAAATAAATAATAAGATGCACCTTAATTAAACAATTGTCACAAAAACAAAAAGTACATTTCAACATAAAGATCTATAAATAATTGTTCTAAAAAAACATTAAAGACTTTTCACAACTAGGGCCAAAATAATAATTTGCTTATCAAAATAAAAGAGAAAAATAGAGGAAAATAGATTGTATAGTAAAATCTAAGAAACTAAATTACTGGAAGTATGAACAATGTGTTGGTAGTATGAATAGAAACTTAACAAAAACTAGAGACACATTAATTTGACAAAAGTTTTGTTGAATTGAATGGTAAGAAATGAGATACATCAATGAAGATGTTCAAATAAAAATCAAAATACACAATGACTAAGGTGTGGCAGCATAGAGTTGAGGTCTAAACTAAAAAAGTTATTTGAAAAAGTGTAAAGCTAAATTAAGACATTACTTGTGAAAATTGAAAAGAAAATAACGTTAAGCTTGTTGTGTAAAAATCTAGTTTGCTTTGCTTGGCTCAATCTTCATATATTTATAGCTCTAAACACCCTTTGGCAACAAGTTAGCGATCTATGATGGCATGAAATCTACAACAAACTAACTTGTTATCACTACCAATCATATTTCTAAAAATATGCAACAACAGAATTGCTTTGTTGATGACATGAGAACAATCATCTACGCTTTATCCAAAAGAAATCAACCACAAAGCTTAACCCAAGTTGTTAAAATCACCACATGGCAGCTCCCCTCTATATTTGGGGTAGTCCCTGATTTTCCCTCAATTATTTCCAAAAATCTACATCAACAAAATAATTTTTCAATAAATAAAATACCGACCAACATGGATGATACATGACATTGTTTTATTTGTTTTAAAATTAGATGTGAACAAACTTAAATTGGTTAACTACATTAAAATTTTATAATAAAACGATAATATTCTAGTTCTATGCTTAATTTTGTAATATAATGTTAGGAAACTAGAATTTTTATATTTTTTTTCAAATAGATTTAATTATTTTTTAATTTCTATCAAAGTTTATTATTTAGCCGGCATACAAGTATACTTGTACCTCGACGGATTGAGTAATAGGTAAAGACTTTTAATATCTGAATAAGTATTGGATATCAAAACTTTGTGCATATTATTATTTAAGTATTGGTATGAATAAATAACAAAGCCATTCCTCCTCACTCCTAGTCTTGAATCATTTGATCTTAGAGCCTATACTTATTTCAATTTTCAAGCGAATTAGCGGGGTAGCCCATGTCATGGGCAAAATGGAAAGTTAGGCCCCATGGACCCCTGGTTTTGAAGAAAGCTAGCCCAAGAGAGTTTAGATCAAAGTAGGCTCAACAGAACGGAAAACGCTACTCAGGACATAAACCCAAACGACCAAGTTGGGATGGGCTGGATTGAGGTGAGGTGAGCCCAAACAATCGCATTTTGCAAATTCCTAACAAGGTTCAGGCCTTCGGGGGCTATCATTAAAAAAAAAAAAAAAAATCACGGTTCAAGCTCAGTTGACCGGAAAAAAGTGAAAACCGTAGTCCACAGACTTGAACACAAAAACACAGGTTTTGATTGGGAGTGTTAGATTGTAATTGCAATGGTAGGTTTTTTTTTAATTAATTAATTAATTTATTTATTTATTTATTTATTAAAAATAAATAAAATATATTTAATATATAAGATTAAGAAATATTATAATGCTTTAATAATTAAAATATTGGAAATAATACTAAAAAAAATTAAGCATTTAAAGTATTAAAATATTTTATTTTTTATTTTTTTAATATCCTTAATAACTTTTAATTAATATTTTATATACTTTTAAAATAATAACAATTTTAAAAATTAAAAACTAAAATATAGAGAGAAATCGTTTTCAAACAAAAACCAAAATCAACAAGATAATTATGCCTGAAGACATTTAGAGGCCAAAATGTCCCACCAATACTATGATAGGTGTATAGTGGGTTTCTTGTATTGTTTGCTAGTCCTTCTAGAATCACTCATTTCATATCTTCCATGACTCCATGAAGATCCAATTATTTTGGTCCAAGTTCTGTGCTAATGCAGTTTTCCCAACTAGAAATTATATGCCCAAGGCTGATGAATCCGCGTCGTACTGACATCGTAGTGGTCCAGAAATTTCCAGACTTTTAAATTCGAGTTTTGCTCTAAGAATTTATATGCATAATTTTTTAAAATAATTTTTAATATAATTTTTATCTAAACCTTGCTCACTTGAATCATGACTCACATATACATATAAATTTTTTTTAATTATTAAATTGTTTTTGAACTAATTTTTATATATTTTTAAGCTAATTTTTTTAACTAATTTTAAAAGTACATCCTCAAAGTGATCTAATAATTTTTTTAAAAAAAAGTAATTTCTTAAAATATTAATCTTAAAATTTAAAAATTAAATTTAACATATAAATAGATTTAAATTCAAATCTAAAAATAAACGAACATTTGAAGTCAAAAGCTCACTAGGAAATTTGATAGAAAGATCTTTTGTGCAATTAATAGTCCATTGAAAAGGGAAACCTATACACCGAAAGACTAACAATAACTAATTAGGAAACAACTACATTGAGTCATGTCCCCTCATCATGAAGCTGAAGTTTTGGTGTTTATGATTATGAATAAGAGAATTTATAAGTAAAATTTGACTTATAATTTTTTTTATTTACCAAAAAAATAAAGAATTTATAAGTAAAATTAGTTAGACTAAAGACTAGAATGTTTATGTTATATCTATATATATATAAAGAAGCCAAAAATAGTTCAATAAATCCAAGACTTGAACAACCCACTCCGTTTCAAAATAATTTAAACTTGGAAAGTAAAATCAGACAAGAAAAATGGAGGTAAAGACTAGGAAGAAGATGAGAACTATTTAGTCACATGTAATACAGTAATAGAAGATTTAGCTGAACCAAACAGTTCGGGAAGTCAACATTTTTGGTAATGCTCAAAAGATAAAAATAATAATAATAAAAATAAAATAATAAAATAATTCAAAGAAATAATAAATGGTGGATGTGGATAAGAAAACATTTTAAAATAAAAATAATTGGCATCAACATATCCTGTCACCCACCTAAAGGAAACGCGTATAGTTGGGGCTGATTTGGTTACAGCTTGGAATCTCACTCCGCTCACTGCTGTCCACTCTCTTTCCCCTGTTTTAATCCTGACCCACTCGCACCCACGCCACTGCCTACACTTTCACGAAATTACTAAATATATCCAAATCAATCTTTACACTTTTTGAGAAAGTTGGATTTAAGAAAAACAAAAAAAAACTCTTTTTGTAATTTGGATGATATTAAATTGTATAATATTAATTACTGAATTCAAAAAAATTATGATATTATGAGGGATGTTTTTGTAAAATGATTGATATTTATATTTTAGTATAATTTAAATTAAAAATTATTAAAATTTTGATTTAAAGTTAAACTTTTAATTTTTCTTTCTCAATTTTTAGTCAAATCTATTCTTCCTCAAGATCATGAAACATGTGTCAACAAACAACGACAAAAAAAATCCATTAAAGGGGACATAAAAATGGCATCAATTATGTAGTTATATGTAGTTATATATATTTGAAAAGAGGCAATGGATGTATGTAGTTATATGTATTTGTGAAATAATGAGCCTAATTTTCAAAATCATAATCTAATTATAAAAATAATTAATTTATGCACAAAGTGTAAGTCTACATAATGGTCCTAATCTAATAAAAGTTTAGACTAGTGTTAGAAATTGTGGGTCACCATAAATATTGTGGGTTACTACAAATATTAATGATATAAAGAGTTTAATTAAAATCTTTAAAATGAGAAGGATTAAATTAATTCTTTCAGTCAAGTATAAGTACTAATTTGAATAATTTTATAAAATTAGATACAAATAGAGATGTAATATTTAAAAAAATTTAATTAAAGAAATAAATTTTTCTTAATTAATTAAAATTATTATCTTTTTAAATTTCCAATTAAGAATACAATTTTTGTGATTTTATTAACTATAATTACTACTTTTTAAAAGTTTTTAATAAATAATATGATTTTGCATATCTATTTAATAGCTTTTTAGAAAAATTATGAAGGTTATATTATTATTACTAATTTTAAAAATATGATAATTTTGATTAATAAAAATATATATCGTATATTTAATTACAAAATATTTAAAAAGTTACATTTTTATTTGTGCTAAATATTTCATTTTTACCTTCCTACCAAGCGCGCGTGAAGTGAGAGCTCCCCATTGTCACGTACATTCGCGGTGGCCAACTGGTGGAGGCGGTTAGATATTGCTGACAAGGGTAGGGCCCACAATTTGAAACTCGTTTTTCTTTTAAATTTTGTATTTGCATTTGAATTTGAATTTGGGTTTCATTTCATGTACCTTTGATGGGGGATATTACAGTAATTAAACAAAGCTCATAGAGAGAGTAGCCTTTGCTTTGAAGCTTTGACTTTGACCAACACGGAGGGAAAGAGGGAAGAAGAAAAATCTCACTTTCCTCACAGCTTCCTCAAACCAACCCACAACATAAAAAGCCCACGACTTGCTCCTTTCTGAAGCAGCTTAACCAGCTGGAAATCTTTAATCCCGCTCCTTCAAAACAACAACAGGAGAAGCCAATTCTCTTGATTTCTCTAGGGAAGGTGAATCGAAGGTATTTTTCTTCTGAAGCTGAATCAAGTATATGCTAATAGCTGAGTGGTTTTGGTGGGATTTTTTGGGGCGATTTCTTAATGGGTTTCTGGTTTCTGGGTTAAAGTTGTTGATTTTGTATGTGGGTCTGGTTTTTTTTTTTGTTCTTTCTGTTCTGGGTTTTTAAAGGCGGTATTTTTAGGTTTAGGTGTTGTTGCTTGGCTCTTTTTAGTCATATGTTGCATTTAGAGTTACTTGCTGTTGTGAATTGAGGCATGAATTAGAAAAGAAATGTAAGATTTGGTGGTTGGCTTACCTGGGTTGCCGAAAATGGTGGCTCTTTGGCCTTTGATTCAAACGGGGAGCCTGATTTTTCTTAGATCCGTTTCTGGGTTTTGGGGTTGGGGTCCCGAATCATGAATTTTAGCTGTTTCTTTTTTGACCCTTTTCGTTCCTAAGGAGTTTTTTGTTTGGATTTAATGGAATAATAATAGTTTAGCTTCTTCATGATCATCCTTTTTCCTTTGAGTAACATATTGGATTTCTATTTCTATACTTCTGCAGGACTGTTGGGTATGTGTAGTGGTTCAAACAGTAAACTTAGTTCCTCAGGCGTCCTCATGGAAGCTGAATTCCCTAAGAATAAAGATCTTGCCTCAAGTAAATGTTCAGTTTTGCTTGAGTTGGCTGCATCTGGTGATCTTGCTGCCTTCAAAAGGGAAGTGGAAGAAAAGGGGTTTGACCTTGAGGAGGCAAGCTTTTGGTATTCTAGAAGAATTGGGTCTAGAAAGATGGGTTTTGAGGAGAGGACTCCACTCATGGTTGCTGCCATGTTTGGTAGCACTGAGGTTTTGAAGTATATCATTGGAAGCGGCATGGCTGATGTGGATAGAGCTTGTGGTGTTGATGGGGCCACTGCTCTTCACTGTGCTGTTTCTGGTGGTGCCAGTTCTTCTGTGGAGATAATCAAGCTTCTGCTTGATGCGTCAGCTGATGCTGGTTGTGTTGATGCTAGTGGGAACAAACCCATTGATTTCATTCCCCCAGCTTTAAGGTTCTTATGCAATTCTAGAAGAAAGGTGATAGAGTTGTTGCTGAAAGGAGAGACTTTGATTGGGACTATTGATGAAAATCAGGAAGAAGTACCAGAGAAGATGATTGTGCCTCAATTGTCAAAGGATGGGACTGAGAAGAAAGAATATCCAATTGATGTATCGTTGCCTGATATAAACAATGGAATATATGGCACCGATGAGTTCAGGATGTATACTTTCAAAGTAAAGCCTTGCTCAAGGGCATACTCCCATGATTGGACAGAGTGCCCTTTTGTTCATCCTGGGGAGAATGCTAGGAGGAGAGACCCAAGGAAGTACCCTTACAGCTGTGTCCCCTGCCCAGAGTTCCGTAAGGGGTCTTGTCCCAAGGGTGATGCTTGTGAGTATGCACATGGTGTGTTTGAATCCTGGCTTCATCCTGCCCAGTACAGAACTCGGCTCTGCAAGGATGAGGTTGGCTGTAACCGCAAAGTTTGCTTCTTTGCACATAAACCTGAAGAACTGCGACCTGTATATGCATCCACAGGGTCAGCCATGCTCTCGCCAAGGTCTGCTGCAATCAGTGCTGTGGACATGGCAGCACTGAGTCCTCTGGTGCTTGGTTCCTCATCCCTGCCATTGCCTACTGCTTCAACCCCACCGATGTCTCCCTTGGCAGCCTCTTCATCACCAAAGAGTGGAGGCTTGTGGCAGAACAAAGTTAACCTTGCTCCACCTGCCTTGCAGCTACCAGGAAGTCGGTTGAAGTCAGCTTATAGTGCTAGGGATTTGGATTTGGAGATGGAATTATTGGCACTAGAGAATCAGAACAGCCAATTGCACCAACAGCAATTGATGGATGAGATATCTGGTCTTTCCTCTCCCTCTTGCTGGAATAAGGAATTCAGTAGGCTTGGAGATTTGAAGCCTACTAACCTCGATGATGCCTTTGGATCCCTCGATCCTTCCATGTTGTCTCCATTGAAAGGACTGTCGATCAAATCTGCAACACCAACTCAGTTGCAATCTCCAGCAGGGCTTCAAATTCGCCAAAACATGAACCAACTGCGTGCAAGCTACCCAACAAACATGTCATCCTCTCCTGTGAGGAAACCCTCTTCTTTTGGTTTTGACTCATCTGCTGCAGTGGCAGCAGCGGTGATGAATTCTAGGTCCTCTGCATTTGCCAAACGGAGCCAGAGTTTCATTGATCGTGGAGCAGTAACTAGTAGGGTTGGGCTTACTGCCGCTTCTAATTCCCCATCTATGATGTCCTCAAATCTCTCTGACTGGGGCTCCCCTGATGGGAAACTGGACTGGGGAATCCAAGGAGATGAGCTCAACAAGCTGAGGAAGTCTGCGTCCTTTGGGTTCCGGAACAACAGTCCTCCAAAGACACAAATGATGCCCATGAATACTGAAGAGCCAGATGTATCTTGGGTTAATTCCCTGGTGAAAGATGTCAGTCCTGTGGGAAGTGGGTTGTATGGCAATGAGAAGCAGCAGCAGTATGGTATGGGCACAGGTGCTTCTGAGTCACTTCCAGCATGGGTGGAGAAAATATACATAGAACAGGAGCAGATGGCATAAGGAAGAGCCATTTGCTTATAGATTCATTCTAACAAATCTGATACTTGGAATTCTTATCAGTATTCATCGTAGGTGGTGGTAAACTGCGAACAAGAGATAGATGCTGAAGAACAAAAAATATGAGCCGGAGGCATCATTCTCTGCTCATCCTAGAATTAGGAAAAATTTATTGATTATTTTATATTCTTAATTTTTTTTTACCCTCTTCGCCTTAGGGAATGTTATTTATATCTTGCTTAGTAATGAAAAACTACTGTGATCAAACGTTGACTCAGAGAGAGTTGCTGCTTTTATATAATCCTCCGTTGGAAGTCCTCCTTGTATTTAAGCAATCTCTCATTGTGTATCTCTATCTCCATAATATATATATATATATCTTTTGCCTAAATATTTATACTAAATCTTCATATACATTGTTGGGGTGTATATATATTTGATATTTCGTTCTGTTAAATTTCCAGTGCGACACTTTGTTTCTTTCTTTGAAGTTAAAACATTATTATTACATACTAAGACAAATAAGTCTTCCTGAATGATGAATGAGAAGAAAGTGACGATCACAGACTGGGTAATACACAGGGCGCTTTCCTAGTAGTCTAGTGGCATCAGGTTAATTAATGCCATTGTTAGTGGTTGGAGGCTGAACCCTTCTCTGCTTTCCAGAAAGTGAGTGGATTCTTCATCATCCAAAATCCAAACATCCTACATGCCAATGCGTGTGGGTCTACCTACTCCTACCTTTCCGCTTTCAACATGCTGATGTTAAGCTTTGCAAGAGAGAGAAAGAGAGAGAGGGGGGAAAGTCTAAACTATAGGGCCGCCCACAAGATCATTCTCAACCAGACATTTAATCAAAATATCACGCAATTTTTCTAGATGAAAAAATTTCCTCCATATTGCTTTTTTTTTTTTTATGAGTTCATCATGCAACCTTTCTCAAATTAAATGGGCTGAAATGTTTCCTGTGCCAGTAAAAGAAAAACAGACTGAAATGTACTTTTGCTTTTATTTTTGTGATTTAAAGGGTTAAACGCACCCTTTTTTTTATCGTCTTTATTTATTTATTTATTTTTACAATACAAATTTAATTAGTCAAATTGTATTAATACCTGTTAACAAGCATGAGGGTTTGAACTCGGGACAAGGGATGATCTCCACCTGCTCGTCATTGAAAAGCACGGCCCAACTAGTGGGCCGCATGGGAGATCATCGTCTTTATGATGTTTTGAATCACTCACAAATAAAATTTCTCCTTTTTCAAAATTTCCGATGTTCAAATAGAAAAGGTTAAATTTTCATTTTGATCCTTGAATTATTGTACGAATTTTTAATTTGATTCTTAAACTTAAAAAATTCATGATTTGATCTTTACTGTTTATCATTTTTACCTCAATTTGGCCCTTCCGTTCAAATTCTGATGATAAGGCATGTTAGTTCACTGTTATAAGATGACATGTCAAATATTAATACATGTGGAAGATAATATGACAAAAAAGTGATGACATGGAAAAATAATAATATAAAAAAAT